CCACCCCCATCCCCACCCCGTCATCTCAGTTATGTAACCTGGTCTTCAGAATAATAGAAGATCTAAGAAGGGAGAATTTCCCATGACAAATTTGGTCAAGTCAATCTCAAAAAGTCAAGGAACATATTGTTCACTGACCATAGCATGCTGTTTGGTAAAATCTCAGGTTACATTCATTTGCACTTACATTTTGAATCTGACACTAAAACTCTCTTTTGGTTGCCAGATGTACTTGGCACTTGGATGTATTTTAGCAAACTCTGTGCTAATGCCAAGTCAAGGAGTCCAACGACTGATTCAGGAACACCCTTTCATTCTTTTTTGTTTATTGTTATCTCAAATTTTCAACAAGATATGGCACAGAGAAAGGGCTTGTTGAATTAAATGTTTGTTGAATTAAAAATGGAAACATACATTAGGTATGCTTCTCGTAGTCACAGTTAAGTAGCCATACATCACAGTGACCTATAATTCTCTTATTTAAGAATGTAGTCATATTTTTCTCATTTTTGTTTATACTAAAACCTTTATAGGTCAAACTACTATATTAAGTGGAATGTTACCATATTATAGTATGCATAATTTACATTTAAAAAATATTAATAAAGACTGTCATTCTAGGGAAGTGGTACTCCGCAGTGGTGAGTTATTTTGCCTAAAAACTTCCAAAGAATATCAACCCCTTATCAGTTATATGCTTTGCAAATATCTTTTCCCATTCCATAGGCTGCCTTTTCACTTTGTTTATTGTTTCCTTTGCTATGCCGAAGCTTTCTACCTTGATGTAGTCCCACTTTGTCTATTTTTGCTTTTGTTCCTTGTGCTTTTGGTGTCATATGTAAGAAATCACTGCCAAGATCAATGCCATGGTTTTACGCTGTTTTCTTCTTGGAGTTTTACAGTTTCAGGACTTATGTTTACATCTTTAGTCCACTGTGAGTTGATTTTTGTGTGTGGTGTAAGATGAGGGTCCAATTTCATTCTTTTGCATGTGGATATCCAGTTTTCCCAACAGCATTTGTTGAAGAGACTTTCTTTTCCCTATTGTGTATTCTTGGCACCCTTATCGAAGATCAGTTGACCTTATACTATAGACTGAATGTGTCTCCCTAAAATTCATATGTTGAAACCTAATCCCCAGTGATGGTATTTGGAGGTGGGGGCCTTTGGGAGGTGATTAGGTCACGCGGGCAAAGTCCTAATGAATGGGATTAATGCCCTTATAAAAGAGATCCCAGAAGGCTCCCTCGCCATTTATACCATGTGAGGTCACAGCAGTTCTTCATGCACCAGAAAGTGGGATCTCATCAGATGCCAAATGTCTTAACACCTTGATCTTAGACTTTCGGACCTTTAGAAGTGTGAGAAATAAATTTCTGTTGTTTATAAGCCACCCAGACTATGTATTCTGTTATAGCAGTCTGGATGGACTAAGACACCATATATGAATGAGTTTATTTCTGGGCTCTCTATTCTGTTACATTTGTCAATATGTCTGTTTATATCAGCACCATTCTGTCTTAATTATTGTAGCCTTGTAATATATTTTGAAATCAGAAAGTATGATACCTCCAACTTTGTTTTTCTTCCTCAAGATTGCTTTAATTGAGTCGTTTGTGGTTCCATATGAATTTTAGGATATTTTCTTTTTTTGTGTGAAAAACGCCACTAGGATTTTTATAGGTATTGCACTGAATCTATAGATCCCTTTGGGTAATATGGACATTTTAACAATATTAAGTTTTCCAGTCCATGAACATGAGATATCTTTACATTTATTTCTGTTTTTATTTCTTTCATCGATATTTTGTAGTTTTCGGTGTACAAGTCTTTCACCTCCTCAGTTCAATTTATTTCTCAGTATTTTATCCCTTTTGATGCTACTCTACTGAAATTGTTTTCTTAATTTCCTTTTTGAATAGTTTGTTGTTAGCATAAAATGCAGCTGATTTCTGTATGTTGATTTTGTATCCTGCAACTTTATTGAATTTATTTATGTTCTAAATTTGTGTGTGTGTATGTGTGTGTGTGTAATCTTTAAACTTTTCTACATATAAGATTCTGTGGATTTTTATGACTATTTCTTAAATAGTGCTAGACAACAGGTTATTAAAAAAAACTTAGATCCTGAATTACATTAAATGAGAACAAAAAGGGAAATACAATTTAATATTTATCTAATTCAGGAATAAGAAAGGCTTTTTCAGTTATTCATGATCTGGAAGAAACATAAAGTAGAAGGTTAATAGAATAAATAAGAAGTATTCTTATTTTTCACCTTAGAAGACACCATCAACAAAAATGCAAAGCTCAAATGTAACAATATTTGTGACACAGATAAGCGGTTACTATCCTTAGTTTTAAAAGAGTTCATAATTCATTAGGATATTTATTAAAGACACCAATAAAAAATAACAACACGATCAACCAATTAAGAAAAGATTACAACAGACAATGAACATGAAAAATTACTCAACTAAGAAGTAAATGCAAATAACAGGATAATGCTTTTGCCTAATAAATTCATCTTTTGTTTTTATGAACAGCCAGTAACAAAAATCCTTTAAAATAGCAATAACTTTTGCTCTAAATATTCTTGGTCTTGAAATTTAAACAAAGAATGCAATTAGAGAATGAGAGAGGTATAAACAAAGATGTTTTAAAAAGGGCATTTCACTTAGTTATTTTTAAGACTGTAGATTTCTATAAACAACTTTAGTGTTCAAAAATAGATATATCTTTAAATTATGACATATCTATAAATTGAAAAAAGGGAAAATAACACTGAAGCAAAAAAAAAAAAAAAAAAAATTTTAAAATAAAAAATAAATAAAAATAAAAAAAAAGAAAAAAAAACAAAAAAAAAAAAAAAAAAAAAAAAAAAAAAAAAAAGAGGGTATGAGACCAGGGGATAACAAACAGGCTATGTATATAAAATGTAATATTAATTTTAGCATAAACAAATCACTACGTATGTAATCAAAGGGAACATACTCAAATGCAAACCAAAGTCATCTTGGGGTGGGCACTAGGTGAGCTAATTTATGACTTTTGTCCAAATTGGGCCAGATTTTTTTTAACCATGAAATATATTTATTGGCAATCTTACCATGGTAGACCTGCTACGTAAAGACAGCACATATCATATAATGCTGAATGAGAATATTCTTCTAAAGCACCTTTTGGAAAGAATAAGCATAATTTTTAAAATCATGTCTATTCTACAGATTCAGGGAATATCTCGGAATACCAGGAGAGTTTTGTTAAATTATCCCTCCACATTTGTCTTTTTATTTATTATTATTATATCTGGGCTAAGTTACTTGACATACACAAAGTCATAATTTTATTTTTTGTTGAAAACTATGCTCTTATTCAAAAATTAAAGGACCATATTACTTTTTCTTTCTCTTTGAATATATTTTTTCTGATATTAATATCAGCCCCTGATTTCTCTCTGTTGCATTGTTTATCTTATCTTTGCCTCTCTTTTGATTGTTTATTTTCTATGTCACATTATTCTGGGTGAACAGTAACTGACTTTATTTCTTTTCTGACCTAATCTTCTGTCTCTACTTCTTAATAGAGAGGTTTAAACCTTTTATATTAATGCTATGTGCTAAATCTCTTCTGTTGTCTTATTTTATCACTTTCTTAATACCTACTGGTTGCTCCCTTTAGTTTCAGCCTTTTGCTTTCAATTTTTGCTTTATTTTTAATTTTCTCTAGCATGTTGCAAAGTATGTTGTGTTTTAAAAATTCTCCTTGTGAAAGAAAATATTCCCTTTTTACTCTCCTCTTTAAAAAGCATATTTACATAAAGTGATACTCAAATAAAATTTTCATGCAAGGATGACAAGTGTCAAGTGGAAGCATCTTAGACAAACGGGATGGATGGTTACCCTGTCTCTGGGTGACAGGAATAAGGAGGTGAGACTTGGGGGTGGGGAGAAGATTTCACTTTGGTGTATTTTGTAGCTAAGGTGCTTAGCTACAAAAGGGATGTGTTCAGTTGGCAATTGTATATATTGGCCAGAAACTTAGGAGAGCACTTCGATCTTGATTTAAAGATTCAGTCATCAACAATAAAGCTAATAAATAGGACCATGAGATTGAATAAGAAAATAGGCACAATAAGTATGTAGTGTTAAAGAAAGAAAAGATTGAATTCTGAAGAACACTGCTTAATGTTAAAAAAAAAAAAAATTACAAAAGAGATGCAGCCAGAGAAGCAGGAAAAAAATAAGTAAAGAGAGATGACTCCATTCCTTGCTATGTCTTTTCACAAAACTTTCA